CCGTCATGTATGACTCGCCAATCGTATTGCCATGGCCTTCCCAATATGATGTGACATGCGTGCATTGGTACCACGTCACAAAGCACCTCATCCTCATACTTCCCAATGGAAAATGCCATCATCACCTGTTTCGTTACCTTGATTTCCCCACAATTATTCAACCATTGTAGCCGGTATGGCCGTGGATGTTTCAAGGTAGTTAGCGCTAATTTCTCCACTTATTCAGTGCTAGCCACATTTGTGCAACTCTCACCGTCAATGATAATGCTACAAACTTTCTTATTTACAAAGCACCGAGTATGAAACAAGTTTTCCCGTTAGTTGTTTTCTTCTTCCCTAATTTGCACACTAAGGACTCGCCTTGCCACCAATGCTTCTCCTTCCATAGCAATTTGTCCTTCATATGCATCTTCAAGAGGTGGCATATCATCTACCCCTTCTTCTTCTTCTTCCTCCGACTCAATCTCTCCTGGGGCGTTTAACACCATCACCCTTCTATTCGGACATTAGCTAGCTATGTGCCCCCTGCCTTGCCATTTAAAACACTTAATGTCACGGTTTCTATTAGTAGAGGACTCGAAATTACCTTGCCTTGTTGCAGCCACTGGTTTGGCATCCTTAGAGGGTTTGTTCTTAGGTCTTGGCATAGGAAACTCATCCCGTTTAAGGACTGGTTTCCATGAATTTGTGGCAGCCACATTCATTCCCCTCCTAGCCATGTTCTCGCCACTCTTGCCTTTTTCTCTTCTACTCATTATGTCTTCTTTAGTTCTTAATCAGACTCACAAACACTCAAGTTTTTCAAGTAACAATCAAGTTATTGGCAACCAAACAAACCAGTAAAATTAAAAGGCTCTGAAACTAACGAAAACAAGCAATTTTTGGCCCCAAAAATAGGGTCACCGGGATATGCCCAGGTGAAGATTGTAGAGCTCGAAAAGATCTTTAATTTGATATATTACAGGTTTAGTGACGATCTCTAGATCAAAAGTTATGGCTGTTCTAAGGCACAGTACTCCGAGTTCTTTTTTTTCTCAGATTTTTTTTATTTAATCGCAAAGTTTGGCCAATAAAAGATCCTATGTCGAATTTGATTGAACTCAGACTCCCTTATGAAGTTTTCTGCCAAAGGATAATAAGGAAGGAAAACCTAATTGAATTTCAACTAGGTTTAGGAAAAGCTTTATCCTAAATTCGGCCAAAGGATAGCAACAAAGGAAGGAAGGAAGGATTTAGAGGCTATATCTTAAATTCGGCCTCAAGAACACTATGAATTCTGACTTTTTGTTTTTTGAATATTTGCGGAAATCTCAAATCAAAACAAGAACAAAAGAAAGAAATCAAATTGAAAACCTAAGACTCTAGGAAAACGATTAAAGATAGTCAAACTTGCCTTGGAACCAAAGCTCTGATACCAACTGATATGAACCTCGCCAACGACGCGACGAGACCTAACACCACGCGCGGATCACAACCCCAAGATCTTCAAGACGCAAGATTGTTAAGCCTTAACTCGTTGTCTATCAAGACGCGAATCAATAACTACGAAGTTTGAAGAACGCCACACCAAGATTATCAAGAAACACCCGTTAATCTCAATGATAAGTCTGATTGTTTGAACGCCACAAGAATAATACTTGATAAGTTCAAACTCTTCTCAAGAACCAAGAAGCACAGATATGAGAAACCTCAATATCAATAATAATTCATTAATTAATTCAAAAACGAGTTTAGCACCCCTATTTATATAGGTTGCGATTTAAATCCTAAAGAAAAAAAAGACTAAAACGTTTAATTATCTAAAACTAAAGCCCAAACTCGGATTCTATTCCAAGTCCAACTCGGACCCTATACATTCCAAGGCCAATTCGGCCATAAAGCTTTTCCCCTAGGCCCAATCCGGCCAACCCCTTGTTAAGCTCTTTGCACTTTAACTTGAATCTTCTAGAACCTTAATCATTGTGATTAGGTTCTCTTCACTCGGATTTGGACTTGTATTGGGCCTCCATGTGTTTGCCGTACCACCAATTTGCTGAACCAGCCCGTTCAATGCTTCATTGAAGCGTTTGACTTTAAGCCTTGTCACCGGACCACTTGGTAAACTCAATGGATCTCTTGAATGTTTCGCCGCATGCTCTTGTGCTCCACCTATCGCATAAAATATAAATATATGCAATCAGCTATTGAGATGGATTTCACCGGGTCCAATGGAAAATATAAATTACAACCAAATCGAATAAATAAATAATTACAATAATTATTTTCTTCTGTTACATCAACAGGTCTTCGATTCTTAAATTCCTCATTCTTTGGCTTCGTTCTTCGTCTTCGGGTCGGATTCCACCTCCTTTGGAGCTTGAAACTCTTCCAAGTCCTTCGGCACGCAAAACAAGGGTTTAAAAACTCTCGGGCTCGATTGAAGTCCACTGGCAGTGTCTCCGCGCGCGCTGGCCGTGTGCTGGCACGCGCACTGGGTGGTCTAGGCGCGCACGTGGCTCTGTAGGCGCACGCCCAGGGCTGTCCTGGGCGCGCACAGAGCAGTATGTCAGGGGTAGTCTGGGCAGTTTTCTGGCTGGGTGTCCGAGGCTGCATAGGGCGATTTTTCGGTCTTCTTTTGACTCAAAATCAAAACCCTAATCTACCCAAACCCTAGAATTATAATAATTCTAATCCCGAATAAAATTACAAATAATTTAATTCGAATGAAGTTAATGCGATCCATAGAACCATATAATTAACAACCAAATCCACCATTCATACATTCATCAACATGAATTAAATATAAACATTCATAAATGTAAGTGTCTACCCATCACATACATACATAATTAAATATCACACATTTATTATATTAATTTTGATTATCACATAATCAGAGCATAAATTAATATCGTCTATAGACCGCTCTGATACCAATTGTTGGTTTTCGAATCGAATTCGGATGCGGAAGCATGAGGATAGCAGATCAAGTATAACAAAAATTTTCATAAAACATTTGAGATACTCTATAGATTATATTAATTTATGCATGAATAAATTAGTTACATTAATTTATTTATTAAGAACTCAATTAGTAATAATACATGGCGGCCAATTAGGATGATAACTTGAGTTCTTTGACCTCGAACAATCCTTGCTCCAAAGCCTTGTGTTTTGAAAACTAATATCTTCCACGTCAATTCTTAAAATCCACGAAGACGTATGTGTAGGCACACCTGAGACAAAACGGGTTAGAACAAATACTCGAATTTCCACAAACACCAACGCATGCACGGTGTGAAATTTTTAAAGAAAAAAATTTCCTTTTACTCTATAGAGAAATTCGGCCACCTTTTAAAAAAATAGGTCCAAAATTGTGTCTCACAATTTTCTATTATTTTCTTACTTATAGAGTATAAGTCAAACTTCTAGAAAGAATCTAATCTCTATCTCTAAGATAAAGCTTGTTAATTATCTCATATTTAAATTTGGAACAAAAGCTCCTCTTCTATTTTATCCATTATGGCCGGCCACTCTCTTAGGATCTTATCCCTGTGTGGCGCCAAATACAGATAGAGAAGGAAGAGAAAATTATCCTTTATCCTGTAATCCAATTTTGACTCAAAATTCAAATTTCAATTTAAGTCAAACTTAAATTAATTTGAATTATAAATTGAACACTTATCAAATAAGTTTAAAATGATAAATTTAAATTGTGTTCACACTGTGTGTTCACACTGCGCCTTGTGTTCACACTATGTGAACACCTTCACATAAGTGATCTAAAATTCAAATTCAAATTTAAATAATCACATTATTTAATGTATAATTAATTCTCAATTAATTATTTTTGAGTGTTTAATTTTAAAATTTCATAATTTTAAAATTCTCATTTTGCCCTTTATGTCATGTAGAATTACTAGGACGACGCGGGGACTAATAGACCTATAATCCCGAGCTCCAATAAAATTAATAATTAATTATAACACTTTAATTAATTAATTAATTCTATTAATGCCAATAGTTACTCTACTATAAACTTGGAATTGCACTCTCGAAATTATAGACATAAATTACTTCTAAAATGTGAAGTGTCCATTTGATATAGTCACTGCATATAGATCAATCCTCCATAAATAATTCATAATTAGAGCTAGATAGAATCCGTTAACCTCTCTAATTATATCTTCATTCTTAAGTACCGTTGATTCTCTAATGGATAGTGATTCATAAAACACATTCATGAACCGGATCATTCATGATTCTCTAATGAATAGTGTTACGAACTCTGGATTAAGATCATTCTATATATAACCATCGGTAGACTCAATTAGAATTTCTATACTTAACGAAAATTATTAAAAATTCATATTGTATTTGTGTTCCTGTTCCACATAATCTCATTATGCGTAATACATTCTTTCAATATCTCACCATATTAACAGTGTGAATAACACCGTTCTATTATTAATGGGAATGACATGTATTAGTAATGTTCTAATTAAAGATTCTGAACTTTAATTAAATTTATTACAACATCACTTTTTGATTATTATCCTTAAACATTATCCTCTCGCATATAACACTTATATACAATGTTTAAGGTCACATAAATAATCATAAAATTTTCATTGATATTCATAAAATATTCACAAATATATACACATAAAATGATGAATAAATTCTTTTATTAAATAAGTAATAAATATCCTATCACATCTCATGCTTTTAGAATACCATTCCTAACAATTTTCAATTCCATCCATCCTGGATTGGCGATTTTACCTTCTTATTCTCTCTCTGTCTACGGGCTCCATTCATAAATGCCAATGACACCTAAATGCCGATACCACGACTCTTCTGAGAGTTGGTTCAATGCTGTGGTTCCCTCTTTGGCAGCGATGGGAGAGCCGCTGCAACCCAGGCTGCAAAGAGGAAGGTACAGACGAAGAACATACCCGGGCATTCTTGAAATTTCAAGTTTTGTTTTTTTTTTTTTTTTTTTTTAAATCTGATATTTATTTCATCGTTGAAAAGGTACTGTTATTGACTAGAATTGAATCCCTGATGTGAAATCCGCCACAGCAAACAAAAATGCCAACTAGATTCTAGCTGGGGGGGAAAAAAAAAAAGGAGCTAACTGTGAAGCTATCTGGAAACGTGGGAGTAGGACAATTTCTTGAGAATGTGTTTTTTTCACTTTTTTTTTTTTTTAATATTATTGGACATATGATTTAGCGGAGCAGCAAGTTAAAATAACGGTCGAATTTCTTCTAAACGGGATTGACTTTACAAGTTACAACCTCTCAAGTTTGCCTTGGGGTGACAACAGTCTAAACAACCAACTCTCACCAATGAAAGAGATTATAACTCCGATCCTCGAGTGCTGCAGGTAGAAAGAGATAGGACTTGTTAATCATAATGCGACTGCAATTGCACATGAAAATCGAATTTTGTTTTGAAGTACCAAGGAAAGATAAGTATAGTTGCATACCTTTGTTTTTTCTCCAAAACTGACACATGCTCGGGTAGACAAAGGCGGAAAGAGGACATATGCAATGCAGATCCCTCGCTGGTTAAGGCAACATTCATGTTAATCATCATGGAAATGAATAAAAGAACAAGTCACTTGTCAAAATATATATATATATATATATATAACAAACCGGAAAGGATATGAGTTTACCAAGTTTACTGTAAGTGTTGTTAATATCAGTTTCATTTGCACGCATCAAGATCATCTAGCCCAGTTTGCTTCCCAAATTTTCTCAATGCAATCGCATATATAGTTTTCTTTTTGACTGACCTCTCATTAGCAACCATTTTGACGGCCTGTGTGCAAAATAAGAGGTGCCGACTGCAACGATTTAGCAACACTAACAATCCAGATAAAATCATACAAATAAATCCCATTAAAAAGCTGTCCTGATACTTACAAGAAAGAAGGAAATTCAACTATTCAAATAGAAGCCATTACCATAGAAAGACTATGCCCGTTGGCTATCAGATTGCTTAGTTCATTCTCAAGCTCAGATTCTGATGGAGTTTCGACTGTAGGATTTGTCTTCCCTTCAATTAATAAAGTAATCTCACCCTTTGGCTGATGACTTGAAAATGCTTCTTTTGCTTGGCCCAGAGTCCCCCGCCAAAACTAGTGAGACAACACCATGATCAAAATTCAATAATATGGATCAGGTCATAAGCAAGGAACATTATAAATTACAGCTATGAAAAAAATAATGCTAGGCTACACACACACACACACACACTTCATTTTGAACAAAGTCTCTTAATTGTATAATTGCATAAGAACAATAGCGAAAAGGAGAGATTTTACGAACAGAAGATTATGGCAAATTATATCTTAGATAATACAAGGTCAGACAACTGATGCAATTCCCAAATATCTGGTTCTTGGTCCTAGGTGATGAAGTTTAATCACCTCGTCTGTGTAAAGGTAAGATTTGGCTCAAGTTTATAATGCTTAAAAAGATATAGGGCAGCTACCAAATTAAAACGCAGTGACGTTTTACAATGTGGTCCAGATACTCTACTACCCAACAGAGCAAAACAACAATACCGGCAGAAAAACAAAAATGAAAACATATTGGCATACGACATGAGGACTGAGCTCTTTAAAGCCTACCTGTTCATGTAACTTTGTTATTTCACGAGCTATGACACATCGCCTGCAACAAAATTACAAAGCACAATCAAGAACTGATTCTAGGGAGAAAATTATTCACCATAACAACATCAGCTACTACACGTGCTTTCCATGCATATGGCCAAGTAAAAATGTCAGCTGCGGAAAGAAATATCACAACAATGAATTTACAGCGTAAGTGATCTGCACGATGCGTGTGGTGACATATTCTTTCTTGCTCTCTCCTTTCCCTCCATAAAAATGATTCAATGAATGTCGCAAACAAGGATGGGAATGGCTCTAACCCATCAAGATTAAAAAAAAAATGCAACATATTCATATGAAAAAAGAAGAAATCCAGTGAGAAGAATAAAATAAGGAAAATAAGGAAAGCAAAAGCAAATACCTTGAATCACCAAACAATTGAGAAGTCTCCTCAAGAAACTGACGAAGCTTGTGTGGAGGAACATAGAACACTTGTGTCGTCACCTCATTAGCAGAAACCATCAGCCTCTCTTTTCTAGAGCCAGCATGTTTGGGAAGAAATCCAACTGCAGAAGCGTATTCAAATTTAGGTTTCACAAGTAAGCCAACACCCATCAACCATAAGATTGACTCGAAAAGAAACTTACCAAACGTAAACTTGTCAGTGTCCAGTCCAGAGGCAGAAAGAGCGGCCACGAAAGCTGAGGGTCCAGGTATGGGAATAACAGGAATATTCTCATTAACGCATAACTTTGCCTGCATTTTAACAAGGTTTAATTCATTCCATAATACGACTAATCGGTATTTGCATTCGGAATCATCCCAAAAAGAAAAAAGGCTCACCAATTCAGTGCCAGGATCACTTATGCCTGGTGTCCCTGCATCGCTAATCAGAGCCACAATCTCGCCTTGCTTCAACCTCCTTAGCACGGTTTGTTCCCTTTGAGACTCATTGAACTTGTGATAGCTCAGCTGTAATTAATCAAAACAGAAAGTAGATTAAACTTGGACGAGATTAGAAAACACCAAATAAAAGATTGGAGAAGCTTACAAGGGGAGTTTTTATGTTGTAATGTTGTAGCAATTTTCCCGAATGTCTCGTGTCTTCTGACAGTATCACATGAGCTGATTTTAACACACGAATAGCCCTGCAATCGAGATATGAAACCTTTGTTGAAATTTCCCCTCACCAAAAAATAAATAAATAAATAAATCATTTTTTTCTTTTTAGCAAATACCGTAAAGTGATGTCTTCGAGGTTTCCAATTGGTGTTCCGACAAGGTATAATCCAGGTTCCAGAGGACCCTGCAACAAGAACCACGACATTAACGATTTAAGCACAATTGTTTCAGAAAATTTAGCGCAGTGGCCAAAAGCAAAGCGAGGAATTTGGAAGGAGGGTGAGAAGCAAATAAAGCCCTAAAATTGGAAGAGAAAATGTCAGCTTACACGCTTTTGGGATTCATCGGAGATAGAGTCGGCGAGTTCCGGCGAAAGTTGAGGACTCGAACAGAAGGAGAGGACGGCCACTTTGTAAGGGCACAAGGTAAGAGACAGTGGAGACGCGAAGGCCGTCGGAGAGTGGATTGAGTTTGGAATCCTACACCGCCGGAAAAGAGATGCCGCCACAGAAATCGCTGGAGAAGGAAGTCGTCGCGCCAACATTTGCACCCTTCACTCCTTGTGAACTGTGAAGCAGGGGAAGAAACAGCTTCAAAAATCAAATACGGATAATTTCTTCTCTCTGTGTTTTTTAGGTTTTTTTTTTTCGGTCTCTCTCTCTCTTTTCTAAGGGGGGGATTAATTTTAAATTTAAATACAAAATGGTATAAAATTTGTCCCCCGAATCCATCACAACTCAACAAAAGTTATCAATTTTATTAAGACTTCATTTATTTATTGCGTTTAAATTTATAATTTTAATTCTGTTATGATATTTTTTTCTCATAAAAAAATTTAAAATTTAAATATTAAAATAAAAAATTATTTATGTAAACGCATTAATTAAACGGATCATATATATTTAACTACGGATCACTTAGACTAGCTGATAAAAGATAACATAGGAGGACGATAATGACAATTGAGCTTGTGAGCGAAGGACAAGTCCATACTTACATTGCAGCAAGGAAGAATTTGTATTTTTAACATTTTTCTAAATTTTGAAGTTTACTTTGTTTAATTTTATTATATTATCTTTTATCAGGTAGTCACATGATTCACACGTAAATATTGGATTTATAAATTCTTCTCTACTTGTGACGTGTGTTAGAAAAACAAATTTGTGTGAGTAAGATTTTTTTAGCTCATTTAGAGGGTATTTTCAAATCATGATTTTTTATTTTACGCTTAAAATTTAAATTTTTTATGAGATAAAAATACTGTAACATATTCAATAATTTAAGTTTGAGTATATAAAACAAACGGACCCAAATTTATTTTTTATTTTGAGTTTAAGGTTGGGGATGGGAAAGGGGTTGACGGGTGGGCGGTAGTGGGGATTGGGTGAGGTGAGATAAGGGTTTAAAACTAAAACAAAGGGTAGAAAAACATTTAAAGTCCGTTTAGTTCGCTGATTCGAGTTTTTAATTTGAGTTGAGATGTGACTTTATGTGAAAGTTTTTTACTGTAGCAAAAAAGTTAGATGTGACTGTTTATGAGAGCTTTTTACTGTAACAAAACTCGAATTCTAAACTCAAATCAACGAAATGAACGGGACCTTAGATAACCCTTTTCGTATTCTGTGTCGTTGTCGTCATTTGTAAATTTTCTTGTCATTTTCTCACCTAATGTTGTTTTATTTTGTTTCATATTCATTGTCGTTTCTCACTCTTCGCTTTGTTGTCTTTTACCGGTTTAGTTTTTATTGTCGTTTATAGGTTAATGTCATTTTCAGGTCCTTACCGTTTCATTACGGGTGCGTTTGGAATTGGTTCCAAAACGTTTTTATTTTCTGTACGAAAATGAAAATGAAAACATTTTTAGTTTCATTTTTGAATTATTTCTAAAAATGCGTTTGGTAGTTTTATTTAGAGATTGATTTCAGTTTTAAAAAAAACTGAAACTGCGTTTGGTGGTTTAATTTTTGAAAACATGTAATAATATATTAAATAAATAATATTATTAAATATATTAAATAAATAATATATTAAATATATTAAATAAATAATATATTAAATATATTAAATAAATAATATATTAAATATATTAAATAAATAATATATTAAATATATTAAATAAATAATATTATTAAATATATTATATAAATAATATTATTAAATATATTAAATAATAATATATTAAATAAATATATTAAATAAACATATATAATACAAAAACGGTTTCAGAAAAGAGGGAAGAAAATGAAAAAGAAAAAAAAAAGTGAAATCCGTTTTTCAGAAAACAGAAAACGAAAACAAGAAAATGAAAACACCTTTTTTTTGTTTTCTGATTTCCACAAAAAGACAAAAACGTTTTTAGTTTTGTTTTTTAAAAAAAATTGCACCAAACACGTTTTTAACACCCGTTTTCATTTTTTTGTTTTGAAAACCGTGAAAAACGAAAACGAAAACGCAAACAAACGGGCCCTATGTGTCCTTCTCTCTTATCTTTTTTCTTGCTAACTATGATGTCATTTAGTTATTTTCCCCTCTTTTCCCTTAGTTTGATTTTTCTGAAATAACAATATTAAGTTAATAACAATAATCATACTAGTATTAATGAGTAACATCACTAGTTTTAGTTGATGGAATTTGTAAATAATTAGTCTGATTCCTAAAAAAATAGTTAATAATTTGAGCAAGATAAAATTATGTTAAAATTAATATTTCTCGACATTTCATAAGGGAAAGCAAGAGATCAACTTTGCTTGCATTTAAAACTTGGGAGAAAGAGGAAAATATGTCAAGACTTGAGATGAATTAAAATTAATAGGTTAATAGTTTATATAAGTTAATAAATAGGCTAAATTACTGTTTTAATCTATAACTAGTCTGGTTATAAATCATAACTTGACAAGTTATTGTCTATAATTGTCCATAACTTGTCTGCTATGAACCATAATTTGACAAGTTTATCCATAACTTATCTGGTTATGAATCATAACTTGACAAGTTATGGTCTATTAATTTCTATAACTAAAAATTGACCTATATACTTTCTTAAGCTTTTCATATTAGCATATTTTCTACTATTTTCCTTAAAACTTTTAGTCTCGGTCTGATTCACTGGTTTAAATTTTGTTGATTTAAATTTTTTTATTTGAATAGAAAAAATCAAACTATTTTGTTTAAATTGTAATTTAAATTAACGTATAAATGTACAGATAAAATTTTAATCTGATCAGAGAATAAAATTTGAATTAGATAAAATTTTAATCTAATCAGAGAATAAAATTTGAATTTGTGTTTGGCAGGCACCTTTTTACAGTTCAAAAATAGTTTAAACAGTTAAACTTAAAGGGAGCTAAACTCTTAGTTTAACAGTTTAATTTAGTTTAAAAAGAAAATATAATTCGGAATGTGTGCATACTAAACACGAATTCAAATTGTATTAATTGTTTAAACTGAGTTAAACTGAACTAAACTAGTAAAACAAACGGATGCTTAAATATGTCAAGGAAAAACAACAAAAATAAGAGTATCAAACATAGTAAAGGCTTCCTACTTTATGCAATCTGATTGGGAATGCGTATTTCCTTCAAAACATGATTCTCCAGGCAATACATCCAATAAAACAAGGCAGATTTCTTTTTTCCTTGTCCTTTTACCAAGGCTTCTGCTGTGGCGATTAATTTCCAGCCAACCCATATGAATAGCACTTCAATTCTTTTTTACACATAAATACATAGATAATTCTTAGAATGTTATTACATTTATACTTTATCATCATGGAACCACCATCTTGTCTCCTTTGGAGATCTGCCATTCCTACAATTCTTCACGTAGCGATCATTATCTGCCGGTCGTTGCTGCGGGAATCAGACGCATAATTGTCAACACATAAGTTGTTACAGAACAATAGCCATAAGTTCATAACAATATATATATATATATATATATATAATATTAAGCTGAAATTTAGCATATACTATAACCAGACCTTCGCAGTTGAACTTGATAACATGGACAGAATGCTGATGCAGATAGAACTTACAGTCATGGCTGGGGACCATGAATCATAAAGAATATCTGCAGAAAAAGGAAATAAATGTTTTGTTTTGTCTTTCTTTTCATCATACACACTGCTACAAAAGCTAGTTTAAAGAAGGAAAACAATAACAATACAAGTAAATCTGTTTTAGCATTATTTTGAAAACTTTGTATAGTACAGCATCTAACAACAAAATCGTTTCATCAGTGAGCCCGCTAGTTTATTAAAAATTATTACACCAGTTATCAGACGAAGATGTCAAAATAGGAACACACCACTATACCAGTTGTTAAACAGGATTTGTCCATGCCACTCATACATAAACCAAAGAGAGCATGATATACAGCCAATGAAGTGTTATTGCCCTAAATGTAAATACCAGATATCATCATCATCATCATCAACCTGGTGCTCATAATCTCATCAACAAGTCAAGACTACGTGTTCAATTCTTTATTATTTAATAGATCAAGACCTATAATGCATACAACTAGAAGGAGCAACAAGAGGCTGTTATTTAGGAGCCGATATCGATAACCACAGAGTTTATAGGTGAGCTGTAACTTTTTCTTCATAACTTTAGGATTCATCAGTTTGTTGCAAGCGTTATTTCAACTTGGAACAAGACTTGATAAACGTATCGACGAGTCACATAATAATTTAACTTCACAAGTTATTAATCTCATATGTAAACATCCAATTGATAAAATGAAAATAAAAGATCACCCAATTAAGCAAGGATCATAAGTTCGGCTCTCTACATGAAACCAAAAGAGAAAAACAGAAATAGAGTTAATGTCTTAACAGTTAATACTAGATACAAGTCAGTTATAAATAGAGAAAAATGAAGTTACAGAAAAAGGAAAAGTCAAAGCTAAGGGCGTAGATACCTAAACATATATGCCCATTGCTATAAATGTGGGGATGCAAAGGAGCAGGAGGCAGGAAAATCACCTTCCAATCAAAATACAGGAATGTCAAAGTCATATAATGTCACAACCATATAGATACAAAAAAACAAAAAAACAAAAACAAAATTTACACTTTTAAGATCAACTTTGAGCGTTATTTTTCCAATTACGACAAACTAACACCTTTTCAAATAAGCGACAATGCAAAAACAAAACTTTTTTTTCCCCTTCAAAAGGGTTTTCTCGGAATCCAAACAACCAGAAGAAAAAACCCAAATGGGAAACGATTATTCACCTGCGGTGCTTCCATTGGGTAATGCTCGGGAAAATCAACTTGAAGCTGATAAGTTTCATTGGCGTAGAGAGTCCCCGGGGCTCCGTTGACTTCAATTACCCATCTTTATAGAAAAGACGAAAAGCAATGATAAATACAAAATTATCCAGATAATTTTTCACACAAATATAAAATAAAATCAGAGGGGGGGGAAAAAAAAAAGAAAACCTCTGAAGATTATCAGTGACCTTGTGCTTAAAACCAGCAGGAGGATTAACCTGCCACTCGACCAGCTCTTTCTGGAGCCTATTAGTGGCGATCTTGCTTAAAGCCTAAATCAATCAGAAATTAACCGATAACGACAAAATTAGGGCTATACATACACAACCACATAAAAAAAAAAAAAATACATATATATATATATATATATATATAGAGAGAGAGAGAGAGAGAGATAAAGAAAGAAAGAAGAGAGAACAAAAAAATAAAAAAACCTTGCGGGAAGGAGCAGAAGAGCTGGTCATGGCTTCAAGGAGAGAAAGAGAGAGAATAAGAAGAATAAGGAGAAGACTCGGAAAGACGAGGGTGTTTCTATTTCTAGCACTGTATTTTCCTTTCCCCCCCTTTTTTTTTTCTTTGGGAATTGCGCAATCTCAGCTGAAATTAGAAAACTTGAGAAAATTGTGATTGGTCAAAATAAATAAATAATTTGAATTAAAAGAGAACGAACCGGATGCTCTCGACTTCTTTGATCGCGTCTTCAATTATCGCGTACAATGTGATATCATCCTAGGACCCCACGAACTGGACTTGGATCTCTAAGATTTTGCCACGTAACGATCGCATCGAGTATGACCACCGTTGAGCATTTTTTTTCTTTTTTTACGTTTTCCCCTGTTTTAGCTAGGGGTGTAAATCGGCCGGGTAGGGTAGGGTTGAGCCGAAAAATTGAGCCTACCCGACTAGTGCGGGTTGAGAAAATTTTGGGCCGCAACACTCTCTTAAGTCTACAAACCCGCAACCTTTCGGGTGACTTCGGGTAGGATCGGGTTACTCGGGTTGGTGAAAACTAATTTTAATCTATGACTTCATCAATTTTAATCTAAGAGGCTCTTATATGCAAATAAATGATAAAATACTATTGTAGTAAATGAGCAATAAATGATATATGCAAATATTATTGTAGTAAATAATTACACAACAAAATTGCGGCATAATAAAATATAAAGTCTAATAACTCATATCACAATATGCATAAAGCAAGAGTGATCTCAAGGACCACATTATCACTTTTTAGTCAATTAATCTGTGCTTGTTACATAAGAAATCATTATCAAACAGAACATGTTTTTCCTTCAATAGGGGGTCTAAATGCAAGGTGAACAATTAAAACACTCACTTTGAAATCAAATACTTCCAATATAAATAAAAAATGTCCTAATTCAACAACTATGGCATACAAGCATTTTTTACACAAATCGTGAATCCAAAACATAAATAAGTTAACAGTTTAAAAGCATAAAGTCCATAAACTTATGAAAGTAAGAATTTGAAGTGTTGAACATTGTTTTACCTACTTTGAACATGTTCGGCCGGGTAGGGTTACCTCGGGTTCATGTAACCCCACCCCGCGCCCCTACCCGCGCAGTGCGGGTTAGGTATAATTCAAACCGAAAATTAAATAAAAAATTAGAAACCCGTGATTTTTGGGTAGGGTCGGCTCGGCTCGGCCGGGTTCGTCGGGTTCGTGGTGATTTCTTACAGCCCTAGTTTTAGCTAGGATTTGGATCATGGGCGAAAATTTTTAGAATGAGATTTGTGTCATGATTTAAATTATAGTTTATAATTTATTATAATATTTTTTTTATAAAAAATACACACAAAATAAAAATGATTCTGAATTATAGTTCTGAATCCATGAATCAAACGTCATATTATTTAAAATATGAGGAGACAGCCGTTTAGAGTAGACACCACACTCATAATTTAAGAACTAGTAGATTAATTACCCAAAATAAAATTGTAATGTTGTTAGGACTTAGGAGTACTAATATATATGTTGGACTTTCCTTATATTTGAATTTTTCTTTATTTGTTCAATCTCGACCGTTCATGGTGGTGTGTGCTCAAACTAATATATGAAGGGTTTATTTGGAATAAAACCGTTCATGGTGGTGTATGCTCAAACTAATATGTGAAGGGTTTATTTAGAATAAAATTATAAAGAAAGGAAAAGTGTATATGGGAAAGGGAAAATGGTGCGGATATTAACACTCTTTTTTCTATTTTTCACACTTCTTTTTAATATTATTAAATTACTTATTAATAAAATTACTTTTAAAGACAACAATACTTTAAAGAAAATACTCATTACATACCCAACCATTAAAAACCGGTAGAATGAGAGAAATAACATATTTCTTAAAAAACGGTAGAATGAGAGAAATAACATATTTTTTAAAGTGTTTAGTAAATTATAATATATTATTTTAAAATAGGTAAATTATAGCATAATTTTATACTTTAAATTTTAAACATTATTAAAAAACTAAAAACACCCCTAAATTTTTTTTAACCTATCTCTTTCCTCCCATAAATCTCTATTTTTTTAAATAGTAAATTATAGCATATTTTTTAAAAGAGAGATTTTATATCATATTTTTTCTAAAATAAGAAGACTATGGCCAGCACCGGTGACCAGTAGTCGTTGACGGCGATTGGTGATCGGCGGTTGTCATCAGCGATCGACAATCCTCACCGGCGGCTGATAAATATCGTATTTACCTGTAAATACTATATTTATTGGCAAATATCGTATTTACCTGTAAATATCATATTTACCTATAAATATCATATTTATTGATAAATATCGTATTTACCTGTAAATATCATATTTATTGGTAAATACCGTATTTATCATTTTTTTAAAAAATCTGACGAATGGCTCCGACAATTGATAAATACCGCATTTACCAGTAAATATTATATTTACTGGTAAATATTATATTTACTATATTTTTTTGAAAATCTGACAAACAGCTCCGATAATTAGTAAATATCGTATTTATCGATAAATATTGTATTTATTAAAAAAATCTCAATTCTAACGACTGATAAATATCATATTTACTGATAAATTATTTATCAGTAATAATAATTTATTTAAAAATTTTACTACTACACTAACAACCACTAACTACTGTATTTATCAGTAAATATTATATTAATTAGTAAATACTATATTTATAAATACTATATTTACTATAATTAAACTTATTCAGTAATAAAATACAGTATTTATTATATTAAAATTAAAATATTTACTGATAAATACATATAGGCTAGATTCAAACTTAACTTTAGTAAAATATTAACGGTAAATATGGGATCAAGAATTAGATTAAAAAAATTATAAATAAAATCATTTCTTTACAAAAATTTATTCCAAAATTATTTTAATTACAAATCAGCCCTAAAATCTTCTCCCCGGCAGCCCGACGCCGCCGCCCAGATGCCTCCGACCACACCTCGCCGCCCAAACGCCGCTGGCCACATCTCGCCCAAAGAGAATCCCGATCTCCATACGCAGAACGGCTATGACGCCATATCCGATGAAGCAGATCCTCGCGACGGTTGAGACCATAGTTGGCCGGATCTCGTCATTCCAGATCTTCTCATAAACGCCGGTGTCGGTGACTAACTTGACGACGACGAAAGGACGGTGGGATCTCTGGACGAAATCGGGAGAAATGGAGGTTGAAGAAAATTCGGACGAAAGCAGGACTTGTGCCTTCTTCCCGGTGATGGCGGGCTCGCGATCGGGTCGTATCAGTACGCGATCTGATGGGATTTCTTCTTTCCCGGTGATGGCCGTTCTGAAGAGAGCAGAGAGAGAACGGTGAGCAGGGGAAAGAGGGAGAAAGACAGAGGAGAGAGAGGTGAATGAGGGGCGGCTGAAATGGTTAAAGAACAAGAGGCCTAAAAGAAAGGGTACATATGGAAAAGGACAATTTATTTCCCCCGAAAAATTTAAAATATGCTATAATTTACCAATATTAAAAAGAATATGCTATTTACTTCATTAAGACTAATAAAATTTGTTATTTTGTGCAATTTCTCTTAAAAAAATACATATTGCTTTCTAAAAATGGATATGTCCTATTTTTTAAAAGAATAAGGATGAATTCTATCGAAAAAGAACCTTTCTACAAAAAGGTTAAAATTCAAAAATTCTTCTTTTTTATTCAATTTTTAAAGGTTATACCGTTAGTTTTAAAAAATTTGTGATTTGTTAAATTTTTTTTTGAAAAGAATAAATTTATCCCTCTCATTTTATTACTGGTTGTATATTGAGAGATCATAATTCGTATTTTTACTGACTGCATTTGTTTTGAGTATAATTAATTAATCCACTACTATGATTGTCGGCAATTTCTGATGAAAGTGAAAGCAATCACGGAATTCGTAACGGGCTGCATAGCCCTTGCATCTTGCAAGCACCAGTATTTCCGAGTCCCTTCGAGAAAAAGGAAAAACAATAAATGAACGTTTAGTTTTTAAATTTAGAATTATTTTTTATTTATGTGTATTTTTTATGAGAAAAAAATATTATAGTAAGTCACGAATTATGATTCAACTCATGACACAGATACTCATACCAAACATGCCATAAGTTTCTTGACAATGAAGTTTGACTACGGGCTTGTTCGGTGTATTTTTGAGTTATGATGATTTGAGTGTAAATCTTAAGTTGAATTTGAGTTATAATTTGAGTTAAAGTTGTAACTTGAGTTTGTGTTTGGATGTGCACATTTGAGTTATGATTTGAATTGAGAATCTATTTGAGTTTGTGTTTGAGTAGGTTAAAACTTGAATTTATATTTAGATAATATTTTAATAAAAACTTAATAGTGATGAAAAATTTTAATAGGGTATATCGATGGGGTGTTTTATTCGTCTTTTCGTTGTGAATGCATACAAAAATCATCTCAATCGAAATTAAAACGAAAAAGTTATGACATTTTTAATAATAGAAAAAATATTGTTTATTAATTTGAGTGTGAGTTTTGAAACTTGAGTTGAAGGAGAAACTTAAACTCAAATTTTAGCCCTAAACTCAAGTTAAAACTCGAGTTAAAACTCGAGTTCAAATTCAAATTTTACAAACGAACGTGAACTTAAATAAAGTTGTAACTTAAGTTTAAAATTGTATGTTATTTGTCTATTTTATATATTTTATAACGAATTGATTTTTTTTCTAAAACAAGACAATTACTCTTTTGCTGTAATACAAAAGACAGATCCCTTCAGCAGGGGGGGAAAAAAGAGAAAGAGAGAAAACAAATAAATAATATCAAGAAAAAAAGAAAAAAAAAAAGGCAATTATTTCTATATATGAAACCAATGTTCATATGCCCAGTTAACCGAAATATTATGGATAAACGACGAGAAAACGTTGGCAATGTTCTTATTAACCATATTTCTTCCCCCCAACAAAAACCAAGCTTCAATTTCATATTTATAAAAAAGCTAAAAAATATAAATGAGAAATTTTATTGGTGGGTGGATGAAAAAAAAATACAATTTAATTGTAGAGACTTTTTAAAAAAAAAAAAAATTTTAAGATAGATATAACAAGTAAAATGGAAGTGGTTTG